CTTATTAGTAAAGTTAATGGTTAAGTGAACTGATTCTGAGGGAAGAATACCAGAGTTAATTACTTATATTAGTTACTTACTGTCCTGCATATACTCAGGCAAGTGCTGAACTTTCTGGGTATCTTGCTGACACACAGTAAAACAAAATGAAGATTATAAAATTTATTTTCCTTAGGGTTTTTTTTTTTCTTTTTTTTAGATGAAACCTCACTCTTTCACCCAGGCTACAATGCAGGTTGTGCGATCTCGGCTTACTGCAGCCTTTGCCTCTCAGGTATAAGTGATTCTCCTACCTCAAGCCGAAAAGTAGCTGGGACTACAGGCATGTGCCACTACACCCGGCTCATTTTTTGTATTTTTTAGAGACAGGGTTTCACTGTGTTGGCTAGGCTGGTCTCAACTCCTGACCCTCAGGTGATCATGCCGGCCTCAGCCTCCCAAAGTGCTGGGATACAGGCGTGAGCCACCAGCCCGGGCCATCTTATAGAGTTTAGTAATTAAATAAGTGAAAGCATATAAGACAATAGTCCCATACAGTAGCTTCTTGCAAGTAAGTAATATCATTAGTTAAGGCTATGGATTATCATTACAAATATAATTTTGTTATGTATATGTATGCCAGGACTTTGTATATACATACGCACACACACACGCTGCCACACACGAAGGTATGAAGAGATATGTTGTTTGGAATGCAGGTGTGAATTTTCATGGACGGTACAAAGACTGCAACTTATGTGGAAGAACATTAAGGGAAAAAGGGGAAAAGTAGTTCATATAGCTTTTCGTTGCCATCCTGGATCTTGCATGGGTCTAATATGACCAAGTTTTTTATATATACACACACACACAAACACACACACACACAAAAAAAATTTTTAGGAAGATAACTCTGTTGTTAATGTAGGTGCTGCACTGAAAATAGTAATTACAAGCTAATGCCTTGAAGACTTCAGTCGAAACTTGAAGTAGTCCTAGTGAGAAATGGTAAAAGATTAAACAGTGGTATTTAGTAGTGTCTAAACAAGATGGATATAGAAAGGAAGCCGAGATATTTACCTTAAAGAAGGCTTAAGATTAAATAGGAAGCAAATAGTGAGAAAAGAAAGAAGGTGAAAATAATTTTTAAAAATTGTAAATCACTAAAAAGAGAACAACAGTTTAATAAAATTTAGTGTGTATTTATTGCTTGTATCTGAAGTATTTTTAATTTTGTACTAGCCAAAAAGAAAAGAAATGAGTTACATTTTTAAGAAAAGAAAATCCAGATTTTTCCAGTAAAAAAATTTATATTATCTATAATAATCTTATTTTTAATATTTCCAGTAGTATAAACACCAATACATTTAAAGTGACTGCTTTGTAATAGATATTTTCTTTCAACAAAAGGTGGTAGCATGTTGCTGATGGCCAGCATATCTGAATCAAGTTCAGAGGGCCTGACAAAGCTCTAGGCAATGTCCCAAAAATATAGTGTCAAGCATAAAGCTCCTTGTGTTTTCAGGAGACTCTGTGATAAAAATTTAAAGGATAGTATCTTAATTCAGGTAACAAACCAGTGGCAGACACAAGTTATTTTTGGTAAAGAGATAATATTCTATGAGCGGTAGATTATTTAAAGATATGTTGACTTGATTATTGCAATGTTGATCATTCCACCCTTACCGTTTGGCAACTTGTACCATGTGTGAGTTCTTTTGCACGCATACAAAATTATTTGATGTATGCAGGGGATGTGAAGCCAGTTACATTCCCTCTTCTTCAGAATATTGACAGTTATCATGAATTTATCAGTAACAGGTTCTTTATGGGAATTTTAAAATATTTCCATGGATTTTCCCCCTTTTTCAATCGCTTCTTATTTGAAAATAAATTACTACCCATAGCTATACCAAAGTTCATTAGTAGCAAAGAGTAGAAGGAGATTCCTTTCCCATTCAAGTTCTAAGTAAGCTCCCCAAGACCCAGTTGCACACAAAATATATAACACCTAACTGGATGCACTAGAATTGGGGAGTTTCTATTATATATGACCATTCTTCCCCATTAAAATTTGATTAAATATCTGATTTATTTGGGTGACATTTAATGTCAGTTATGAGAAAGGGATCAATCATTTGCCCTCCTCCTTTGTGATTCTGCCATCTCTACAAACAATTTTAGCTTAGTCGAGCAACTTTTATCTTTAGAGAACTAATGACATGGTCTCGAATTTTCTTGGTCCTAATACCATAAACAATGGGGTTAAGAAAGGGTGGTACCAGAAGGTACATATTGGCAATGAAAATATGAATTTGGGGAGACACATTATGGCCAAAGCGGTGGGTCAGGAAGGTAAAGACAGCCGTGAAATAGAAAACGAGGATGACACAGACATGGGAACCACACGTGCCTAGAGCTTTAAGACTTGCTTCCTGTGATGGAAGATGAAAGACAGCTCTGAGGATTAGAACATAGGAGACAGCAATAAAAAAGCCATCACAGGACCCAATAACAGAGGCCACACTGAGGCTGTAGCGCTTGGTGGTCCCTGTGTCTTCACACGCCAGCTTCACCACGGCCATGAACTCACAATAAGTGTGTGCAATGATTCGAGTTCTGCAGTAGGGCAGTTGTTTGAGCAGGATGGGATGTGGAAAAAAGAAGACCACTCCCCTGAGGACTACAGCAGCTCCAATGTTGGCAATGCGACTGTGTGTGAGAATGGTGGCGTGGCGCAGTGGGTCACAGATGGCCACATAGCGGTCAATGGCCATGGCCAGGAAGAAGCCGGATTCCATGGCAGTAACACTGTGGATGAAGAACATTTGGGTCAAGCAAGCATCAATGGTGATATCACGGGCTCTGAGCCAGAAGAGACAGAGCATGCGGGGCAGCGTGGATGTGGAGAGGACCAGGTCAGTGACTGACAGCATGCACAGAAACAGGAACATAGGCTGGTGGAGGCTTCGTTCTGCCTTCACCACGGCCAGGATGGTCACATTCCCCATCAAGGCCACCACGTACATGCAGCAGAAGGGAATCCCAATCCAGGCATGCAGATGTTCTAGTCCTGGGATGCCCATCAGCAAGAAGGTGTTTGGTGATATTTGGGATGTATTGGCTGGTCCCATGGTGCTGCTGCTTCTGCCTTTGCAGTTGGATTTCTCTATTTTAAGGCAAATGTTTTCTGCCAAGGTCATTACAACCAAATCTGAAAACAAATGAAAAACTAATCTGAAGGTACAAAAATACCACATTGAAATACTTTCAAGTTTGTATTTTAGAGTGAAAAATACCATGACACAAAGCAAAAACTATGTAACCAGATAGAAAGTAGTAATTGTAAATTGTCATGAATCTCATGAAACTTTTAAAAGAAGAAAAAACTTTGGTAGCAATCAATGTACAATAAAAATTTTATGACATTTTTTGAATTTGCTATTTGATTTAATCATAGGACAAATGAGCTTTTGATAGAAACATTGGATTTTACAAATAGAAAAAATCTTATAATTAATCTATCCCAAATTCCTGTTTAACATCATCCTAAAATATAATTCTCTAGCTGATGTCTGAGTGCTGTCAGGTATAGTTGTTCATTTCTTAGACAGTCCAGTACGTGTTTTGTTTTCCTAGTGCTGTCACAGAACCAGTCCCTAGGATCTGGGAGGCAATATCGGCCCTTTCCTCTGGAGTTCTACAGACTGCGTATCTTCTGCATTGCAGTCTTCCCCAAACAGGAGAGTAAGTCACGTACTCACTAAGTTCTCTCTTTTTCAAGAGAAACATTCCCATCTTATATGCCCAATTATTTTAAGCCTGGTTTTAAGAAATTCTAATTTTCTACTTCTATATATTCTCCAGTGTGTCCTGTGATTCTTAATTTTCATTATTTGTATCTGAACCTATTAGTCACAAGATGGATCAATGCACCTGGCATCTCTTGATTTTTACGCTATTAGGGTGAGTTCAGTTTATATCGATTTTTTAATGTGAAGTAAGGGATAAAAGTAATATTTAATTTCTCTTAACATGAAAAATATATTTTCCTAAAATCTACCTATATTATTTTTTAGCTGGAAAGCCAATGCAAGCTAAATATCATATTTTCAATTTTAGTAATTAGAAGCTGAAGGTGTTACAGATGATGCAATGACATTACAAAAAAACGTGGCAGAGACACAAAAAAAATCTAACATATTTCTTCATGACTGTAAAGTTAAGCTGTTTCGTTGTGTCAAACTCAAAAGCTCTTGTCACAGAAGTTAAATGCATAGTCAACTATAACCTACCAACACTTTGATGAATTTTTAATGTTAATTTTTTCATGATTTGAAGCAAATGCCTATACTGACTCTGCACTTAAACTTGTTTGTATTATTTTATAAAACACTTTAAAATAATCATTAAAATGTGTTTCTGTATTATTAAGCACTTATCACTGATCATACCTTGAATTTAATCAGTGTTACTACCGATTTTATAAATATGTATTGTACATCTACATCAAAGCAATTGAAATATAATTTTGAAATAAGTTTAGGCTAATTACAAGGTTATTTATATCCTCTTACAAAATTTTGATTATCCCTTTTACAGCATGCTCTGTATACTGTTCATTAATTGGTGAAAAATCTGTTGAATTTAATAATAATGAGATTCCAAATAATGAACCCTGAGTACTTCATTATAATTTATAAAATCTCACCAAGTGTCCCATAAACTGAAATATGACTTACATTACTCAGTATTTGTGTTTGAATATAGAGTACTTTATACTGAGTACATATATCATTAGAAATACTCCCAAAGGTATTTTGAAATTTTCCCAATTTAACCTGTGCTTTATAAAATGATTTTTTACACAATACTTTAAATTATTGTATATAGCTCAGAAGAAACAAAGTCCAGTGAACCTTAAAATGTATCAGCTGTCACCTGTAATGCTATCACTTCTGGCTTTTGGTTGTTTTCTTTCTTCTGGTTGTTTGCTTTCCCATTATAGGCTTTTCCTATGTTATTTTATTAACTTCATTTATCTCCACAATAAGGCTTAAGTTGCCCAAATCATACTAACACTATCTCATTTTTCAGGTTTTTAGTCTATAAAATGGTGATATCAAAAGGTTGTAAAGATGATTAAGTCAATTAAAACACGTTAACTTAGAAGATTATCTTACATAGAGAAAGAATTTAATACAGCAAGCCTTGGAATTTGATCATTATTCCACAGGTAATATAGATCTAGTAAAATATCTAAGCAAAGGCACAGCATAAGCAGATTTTCATTTTAGCTAACAAAACAAACAATTCTTTCTAGCCTTTTCACCAGGCTACTCTTTATCTTCTCCACAGGGTAACACCAAAATTATAACTATTCCCCAAATGCACCATGCTTCTTTGTAAAATTCTGACGTTTTCACATACCCATCTAATTTTAGTTTCCTCCACATCTTTTCCCCCCCACTTCCCCTTGCAAAATACTGCACATCCTGTAGTACTGAGGTCAAAAGTAATCTCCTCTATGACTCTTTGTTGAATTACTTTAGGCAGAAATTTTCTCTGCTCTCATTGCATTTTTATACATTTTTATATTTCACTTTGACAGCTTATTAAATTGTGGAATATTGTATTTATTCATATATTTCATGACATCTCTTTTACTCATAAAATTAAATTTTCCTCAGTGTAGGAACTGTAGCATACCTAGGTATTACCAAGAGCCAAACCAAAGACTGGCATGAAATGATGTTTAGTAGAAGGAAAACACGAGTAGTTACACAGCCATGTGACCCCAAAACCATGTTCTGAACACTGTTCCATTGATGCTTCCAAATACTTTCCTAAATGAAATTACATTTCTATTACTTATTACGATTTAAGCAACACACACAGGTATTAGAGTTAAGACAAGTGTCCCTGCTATCTCTTCCTACAGTAAAATAAAAAGACTTCTGTTCTTTAGTTTATCTTTATCACTGCTTTGTTTTGCCATGATTAGAAAACAGGACTCTTAGAACAGGGAGATAGTACCATTTGTTGAAGGTTGATTCTGTGTAAATTACTGCTTTAGCTGAGGGTTCAAAGAGCTTGATTACCCAGATTTTCACTTCCAGGTAAACATAAAGCTATTCATGCATCTCTGTTGGCTCTCAGAATTTTTTTAATTAACATATTATTTCTAAGAAACATATTTCATGTTGTACCTACACACATCTAAGACTTTATCCCGTGTAGCCATAAATTATGGTATACTATATCCAGAAATTCAAGCACACAGGGACTTTTAAAGGTTTTCTAACATTATGTGAAGGCTCTTTCAGCAAACCATATCTATGCTTAAATAAGTGCATTCAATATGCACATATTGATTTAAATATTATTAGATTTAAATGTCTTTCCATACTTTCTACTCCTTCTTATCTCTATAAATTAACTAGTTTGAGGATAAATACATGACAAACAATAAGAGTTAATGTGACAAAAGAATGTAATGATTGCCCACCTGATCACTTCAACAAATAGACACATTTTTTTTTCAGCTTACTCCTAAATAATGTTCTTTGCACAGAAGTTCTGATTGATCAACTTCTAATGCTGAATGGAAGGAAACCAGGTGTTCTTTGTTCACAGCTGTCTCTTCTTCCACGGCCTGTCTTGTTCAAGCAGTTTTAATGCTATTTTAATTTTAATTTGGAGTATCTCTGACCTTATGCTCCTTATATTTTAGATAATTAACAGGTAACTTAACTTTCATCAGTTATGAAAGGAAGGGTCTATTTCTCCTTGTTAGTATATACCTGTAATCTTTATTTTTAACTTTACAAAGGACATTTAAAGAGCTGAGCATTACCTTTTTGCCGTTCTCATAGTTCTATAAATGCCGTTGTTTGAATGTAGCTCTCTCCCCTCTTTTCTTGCCCTGTGTCTCCTTTTTTTCTCCTCTCTTTTCCTGTCCTGTGTCTCTAACTTAACTCATCCAAATTAAAAGCTGACAGTCATCCATAAAGCCACCTTCTAAAAGGACCAGATGCAAATAAACGTGCTGAATGAACACGAGCTGGAATAAAACTGACTGCAGATCCTACTTGATGAAAAGCCGTTAAGTGGAAGGAGAATCAGTGGTCCTCTGGGATTAAAGGGCCTTTCCCCAAACTAAAGATCTATTTTACTTTTAGATGGAGTAATTATTCTGAAGTATCCTTTAAGATAATAAAAATGTTTTCCCCAAAGGTCTGTTGAGTTCTTTGGTATGAAATACATCTGCTGAATATATCAAGAAAAAATATTATGAAACAACTTGATCTTCAAAAATGTATTTGGAAAAAAATACCATGAAACAGATGAGAAAAAAGAAAGTTGATAAATGTAAAAAATATAAAATGGTGCAAAATTTTATAGGTAATAAAAGGTGACATCAGGATCTGAATTCATGTATCTCTGGCTCCATATTTATTTACTTAACCCCTATGTCACTAAAATTAAAAATGATTACGCCTGAATTAAAGTCCATACTTGTTCTTTTACAAAGTGCTTAATTCCATGGATTATAACAGACAATATCCAAAGTGATTAATAAGTACCTTTGTTTTTTTTTTTTTTTGCTCTTTTTTTTTTCATTATTATACTGTGAGCGTGCGGGTGAAGTGGTGTGAGGTGCGCTGACAGTTTGTGGTGTGCGAGAGGTGGGGTGAGGGTGTGGCGCGTGTGTTGGTGGGCGAGGCCGAGCGAAGGCGTCGATGCCACCCATCAACTTGCATTTGGCATCAGGGTATAACTCCCCAATGCATCCCTCCACCTCCCCCTCCATATAGAGGCCGCCGGTGTTGATGTTCCCCTTCCCGAGTCCAAGTGATCTCATGTCAGTTCCCACCTATGAGTGAGAATATGCGGTGTTTGGTTTTCTGTTCCTGTGATAGTTGCTGAGAATTGATGTTTCCAGCGCATCCATGTCCTTACAAAGAACACAAATCATCCTACTTTAATGGCAGGATAGTATTCCGATGGGTGAGTATGTTGCCACATTTTCTTAATCCAGTCTGTCGCTGATGGCGTCTGGCGTGATTCCTGCAAGTCTTCATGGCGAATCGAGTGCCACAGACACATACGGGATGTGCATGTGTCGTTGAGC